GTGTCCGTTTCAGGTCATCCGTCCATCTTGTTGGTGATCGTCCTCTATTCCTAAAGGCATCTTGTCTGGGTCTCCACTCAAGAATGAGTTTTGTCCATCTGCCGTCCTTTGTTCTCGCGACGTGCCCTGCCCAGTTCCATTTTAAGGTTGATATTCTTTTGATTGCGTCGGTTACTCTCGATCTACGGCGCAATTCTGTGTTGGGTATTCGGTCTCTCAGGGTTAATCCCAACATGGACCGTTCCATTGCCCTCTGTGTTGTTCGAATTTTGTTTGCGGACGTCTTAGTAAGTGTTAGCGTCTCCGCACCATAGGTTAGAACCGGCAGCACACATTGATCGAAGACTTTTCTCTTCAAGCAGATGGGAAGAGCTGATTGGAAAACATATCTTAGCTTTCCATAAGCTGCCCATGTCAACCCTATTCTACGTATTAGTTCATTGGTCTGGTTATCTCTGCTTAAGCGAATTTCGTGTCCCAGATATTTGTATACTGATGTTTGTTCTATACTTGTTCCAGCTATGTTGATGTTCTCACTCAGAACAAGGTTTGTCATCACTTGTGTTTTTGAGTTATTGATCTTTAAACCCACTTGTGTAGAGGCATGGTAGAGTCTTTCGCACATTTCGATGGCATGATCTATGCGGTCTGTTATCAGGACTATATCGTCCGCGAACCTGAGGTGACTAAGCTGCTCTCCATTTATGTTTATGCCCTTTTCGTCTAGGTTTGCACGCTTACACATGTATTCCAATAATGTTGTAAACAGTTTTGGTGAAATGGTGTCGCCCTGGCGAACTCCACGATGAATGTTGAACTTGTGTGTATCTTCATGGAGTCTGACGCATGCCGTGGCATTATCATAGATATTTTTGATGACAGTGGTGTAGCGGTGATCTATTCGGCACTCTTTTAAAGCTTCTAGCATTTTCTGGTGGTTTACTGTGTCGAATGCTTTCTCATAATCCACAAATATTAGGACGAGGGGTTTATTGTACTCTATACATTTTTCGATGACGCTTTTCGCGATATGTTCGAATAAATTTCAGCGGTCATGTAAATGAAAATTACTAAGTTCTCGGGAAGAACCGCGTTGAGAATTTAATGAAAAAACCTAATGGAAAATTGAATAACGGCCTAACAGTTTAAACACGCGCGATGACGCTAAACGGCTGCCGGCAATATGGCGACCGTTGCTTCAGCGACCCCCCAGCTCAAAACACACCGCTCAGGCTACGTCAGCTCAGACCACGTCAGCTAAGACGACGTCAGCGCATACCGTTCCCGCGCATAGGTACTGTTGGTATAAAAGCAGCCTCACATAGTAAGACCGGTCGTTATTTGATACTGAGTGGTAGGCAGATTGAGACCTCAGTGTCGTTTGACGGTTATTGTATTTTACTTGGGAGAATTAAGGACAATATTTTATAAGTAATAAATAACTTACCTAATAATTGTCTTTGTTCTTCTGAAATCAGTCCATGCCACACTCCCGACACTAACCAACTCCTATCTTGGACACTATTAGTTGGTGTGGGACTATCTGATGTGGCGCTAGAAGCATCTGGGGATCCATTTTTAACAGTCTCACTCTCTATTTCTGAATCTGTACTAGTATCGACCTTCAAATACTCATAGGTTAGTTTTATACCATTTTTTAATTATGAAATTGTAAAGTACAGAATTTATAGAGCAAGCGAGGTGTAAAGCCAGTTCACTTCACGTGGTGCACCCTGGATGAACTAGCAAAAAATTAACGGCATACGAATCGAGACAAATTTCTAATGACATCATAGATTACAAAAAGAAATCCATTTCGAAGACAAAGAGCAGCTTAACCCGAGGTAATACAGACCCAACCACTCTAGTATATACATCGAAGACTATAGCCACGATGAAATTAGGAAATATACCACGAATGATCAAAAGGTTTAACAGCATTTAAATCAGCCACATATAGAAGAGATTACAACCTAGACTTGCGCTTTATCCCAAAATATATCAACGATAGGTCACCTAACAGCTTTGAGAAAGGTTGTTGCAGTTTTTTTCCCACACAACATCGTTCTGTGCTTATTAATATCAGTATATCCATTCCAATAATCAGATCCGATCAGATTATAGATGCAGTTGAGATGTACTGCTGAAGACGAATGCTGAGAATATCATGGGTGGCTCAAAGAACAAATGAATCTATACTGAATCAACTAAACATAAAGAAAAGACTTAGGGCCGGTTGTTCTAACGTTAATCAAAACTTGATTGTAATCAAATATTTAATTACAAGCAAATACGTCACAGCAGCTGTCAAAATTATTAAAAATTGCTTATTATTAATATTGATTTGTAAATAAAAACATGGAATTAACTTCAAAAAGTGTTTGATTATGGTTTATTTTAAATTAAAACGCAAAATAATAAAATTGAATAAAATAAATCAGTCAACATAACCTCAAAATGTGACGCATTTGATTTTATTTATATATTTGATTACAATCAAGTTTTGATTAGCGTTCGAACAACTGGCATTAAGAACACAAATATCAGAACAAATAATAGAATATTTTGGACAAGTACTTCGAAGAAATGGTCTTGAAAAACTTACCAACCACGTAAAGGCAGAAGACAAAAGAAGTCGAGTTAGATCTCCCACACGATACACTGATCATATTGTTGCTACTATTAACGCTCCATTGTCATAATGTGCTAGAATGGCAGAAGATAGAAAGACAGAAGAACATTGGAAAAACCAGCTAATAGCTTCATGGCATCACGATAACTGCATCAAGTTAACTACTAAGACTCCGACACACACTCTCCAAGCTAGAGGGAACTTTGGCGGATTGGAAAAAAATAATCTTACCAATTAGATGACATCTTTAGCTGACTTTAGCACATACCATTGGGAGGGAATATGTGGATGAAAAATGGTCCCAGATAGATGGAAAAAAAGAACAAAGAAAGATTTGAAATTGCTGTATGACAGTCTATAAATTATCAGTTAGTATCCAATTGTAAAAGCCTTATATCATCTTTCTGTTGGCCATCCAACAGAAAAAGCAGTTAAAAAAGTTTTGGAAGATTTAATTACTTGGGAGTATCACAGTACCGACAGAATACAATGGCGTGGAATATATACATACATATATATATATATATATATATATATATATATATATATATATATATATATATTATATATATATATATATATATATATATATATATATATATATATATATATATATATATAGAAAGAGAGAGAGAGAGAGAGAGAGGGAGTTAATAAATTTTATAAAAATTAATGGAAAAATCCAAGTAGTTGGCTGTATACCATCGTTTAAAAAATACCACAATATACCACACGTTTTTATACCACAATACTTCACACTTGTATTGTGGTATTAAAACATATAGTTAAAAAGTTTTAAAAAAGTGTCATCAAAATTTATGTACTAAACATATCGTTTTCGATCTGAACAGATCATCCTCAGTGCCTTATGTAATTGAAGCTAACAATAAAGTTATCGCTGTGACCTCCATATATGGGTTTACATCATTCCAAATTTTAAATTTTAATTATGTTGTGACTCTAGGTCGATGACAATGGATAACTTTTTTAATTCTTTATTGACTACATGTCTCCCTGCTCGATTTTTAACACGTAGTACTTGTCAGTTAAAACGACATAGACCAACTGGCTGAGGTGACAGGAATATAATTTAAGAAGACAGCTGAAAGTGACTAGGTTTAGGCACAGAATAAACAATCAGAATGCCCATTCTCCATGAAAAATTAAGTACGCACATCTCGTTCGCGCAGACGTTCAGCCATGGTTTAAAGGGAACCAGTGTTATTTAATGAAAATTTATGTGGTGTGCATAGAAAAATTAACCCGGTTTAATTGACTTCCGGCAATCATAGACATAATATACAATTATTTTAACATTGTTAAATATAATAACATAAATATAAAAATAATATAATTAAACATAAATATAAACAATTACATAACCTCACAAATCATATGTCGATAAAGACCCATTACACCAAATGTGATTCTCAATTCAAGCACAGAATACTCCATCCCATTGGAATGGTGTATTGTGTGATCCAAGTCTGTGTTCTGCGTTTCCTTCTAAAACATGGCGCGCATGCTGAAAAACTTCAAAGGCGGCATATGAGAGTGGGCATTCTGATTGTTTATTATTCTGTGGTATAGGTGTGTTCCGAGACTAATGTAATTTTTTAATTGTAAAATTATAAAATTTATTGTGTTGTAATAATAACTAATATCTTACTAATGATCCTGTAGTTAAAATTAAATTTGTTTAAATGATAAAATTTATTGTCTTAAATCAGCCAATCTCTATTATAGAAAAAGAAATGAACTATTAAATTATTGGAATTAATGTTTAAGTTTGAATTTATGACATCATAAGTGGTAAGAAAATGATAAAAGTAGAAAATGAAAGGAAGTGATGTGGTACTATCCACATAATAGTATAGAAAGGGTATACAAAATTAGTATATACTAAAAGATTAACTTGAAATCCAATGAAATGGAAGTAAAAATTATTTTTGATTGGGTAGTGATGGTTGCCTAGCAACGGGAAGAGACCTGTTGGGTAAATCTCTGGGAGATAAAATTTAATTAGTAAAATGAATCGTCTATTAAAGTTTTATGAGATATGATAACAGAATATGATATTCTAACTACTATTATATTGTAATTTTTGATAGTGTTAATATGGTACTACCCTATTGTGAAGGATGATCTGTTCAGATCGAAAACGATATGCTAGTACATAAATTTTGACGACACTTTTTTTAAAAAGTTTTAACTATGTGTTTTTATACCACAATACAAGTGTGAAGTGTTTTAACTTATGTATTTTTTTTTAATAAGTTTTAATTGTCCTATGCCTACAAGACTTGTTGGGCAATTATAGAAAAAACGGTATCAATAACTAATACTTAAAGGGTAAGAATGAAGATACTTACATGTTCAGAATAATCATTTGGCTCATTTCTAAGTTCAATCAAATCTCCTATGGGGCTCTTGTTGTCGATAACAGTCCATGTAAAACGAGGCAAAGGTAGCTCGACTTTTGAAGTTAAAACCTCACTCCTGATAGGAATATTGGCCTGATAGGCTGCTACAAGCTTTAATGCAGAAAAAAATTGTTTTTTGTTGAGATAATTGGTGCCTAGAGTCCAACAAATGTCTGAAATCTGTAATGAAGGTTTTTCTGTAGTCAACCATATGTAACATAATAAACTATTGTTAAAATATTATAAATGTTCATGAAAAGTGAAATCAGAACCTCGATATGTCTGTAGGCTATGTTTATAATAGTATTTATGCAACAAGTGTATAAAATAGTACTTTTTTCCACAAATATAAAAGTTGACAGAACAAATCCTTAGACGAATGCAGCAATTTCATGAATGAGAAAGAGAAACTTTATAGACATGTAGCTTAGATTTTTTTTTTGTTTTCTTTATTTTCATACGATGTAGAATATTAATGAAAAGACTTTCTGATAGTATTAGGTCCTTGTAAAATGTATGAAGCACAGAACATCTTTTTGTTCAAAGAGGATCGTTTGCGTAACGGTCAATGACTGCAGTGGATTGTAATCATCTATGTTGTTTTAAATGAAGAATGTCTCCTTCTTCCTCTCCTTGTTCTTCTTCATCTTTATAAGCGATTCTGCTTGTTCATTGGCGGATTAATACCTCTATGGAAGGTTGTCACTTCATCTTTTGCAGTCATCTCCAAGAATGTCTCCACGTAAATCAACTAGAATGGATGCCAAATGTTGAAACATGTGACGTGGATCCACATGTTTGTAGTGAATTCAAATATTTAACGAATTTCGAAAGAAATCATATATCATTTATGGTGGAATGTCTTAGTACCTGATTGTCCTAATTATGGGTAGTAAATAAATATGAGTGTGATTCCATTCGGTACGCGTGTGTGATTTGAAACAACTTAGATATAATGTATAAATTCAAAAAATTTATCGCTAAAGCGCTGTTGTGGACTGCCAGATTTTTTATTGAAAAAGAGATCGAGCATTTAACAACATTAAAAAACACATATTTGGAATATTGGCTTTTGTGTACAATATTACTTTAAATTAGGGATTCATTTGGTGTGCAGTAGTTGATCTTTAAAACATAAATCTGAATTGTCTGCAATTTCTTCAAAAAGACACTAATAGCATCTGCTCAATAAAGCTGTAAATATTATTTTGTTTTCGATATTCCATAAAAGTATCTATCAAGCTTAAACATGGGTGAAGCGCATGGAACCCTCTAAACCAGCACAATTATAAACCAACACACGTGGTGGGAAATATACGAGGATTTAAGAGAACTCAAAACTAAAAACTGAAGAATGAAAGATAGAATATTAATATGAACAAAAATTACTAAATTAAATTAACTGAATTGTCATTAGGTACACCAAGTAGTGAAAGTTTATATGCTTTCAAAATTGAATTGATATTTTGTTTTCAACTGGAGTGTAGAAAAATTGCATGACTCAATTTCGTTAGCATGTGTGGAGCATGAAAGTTAATGTTACGGCATTATTTTTAACACTCTATTAATCTATTTCTTATGAACAAAAACACTAATTTTATCGGTAGAAATCGATGTAATAAAGGGTACTTAAATCTAACATATTATCATCATAATTGGCCCGACAATCCTTTGCGAATCTTGGATTTCTCGCAGGGAAGTCGCCACTCCCGTTGATTTCTAGCAACTTTCCTCCATCTTCTGACCCCTAAAATCTTAAGGTCTTCTGGCACATTATCATTTCGCTTCTTCTAAGTGGTTGTCTTCTACTTAAATGCCGGTGGGTTTGGAAACGTCAATCTCTTTGTGTACTCATTACTGACATAGCAATGTGTGCAGCCCCTCTTAGCCTCTGCATTTTAATAAATTTTACAATATCTGGATCTGTGTATAGTACTTTTCCGATCGCTAGATTGAACAGCATGCATGATACCGCATCTCCCTGGAACAATTCTCTGTTGGTTGTAAATAGTTGTGAAAGATCTCCTTGCACCCGCACTTTACATTCAAGTTTCCTCATTGTCATGTGAATTTTCGCAATCCTTTTGGAATTCCTAATCCAAGAATCCAGGCATCTTGCTTCAATCATAGCCGAATATAATTTGGGTCTGTCCACACTATCATAGATATCCCAAAGTATATCATTGGATTATATAGTGCAGTACTTTTAACACTGTCATAGGCTGCTTTGAAGTTGATGAAGAGATGGTGAGTAGAATTTGTGGATTTTCTAAACATCTATGACCTTGAAAATATCTGCATGTAAGGTCATCAAAAATTATTAAAATTTGTATGGTCAAATCATAAATTTATACTTTGTACTATCTATATAATATTCTTGTGACTTTTCTCAAATTTGCCTATGTGCATGTAGTTGGTGGTATATAGTTGACTTTCCGCAGTGAATCCCTATTGGTATTGCCCAACAATACTTTTGATAAATAGCTTAAGTCTCCCAAAAAAAAAGTACATTGCTGAATATTTTATATGCAGATATTAAAAGAGTAATGCCTCTATAGTTCTTGCAATTAAGTTGATCACAGTTTTATGCAGCAGGCATATTATTATCTTTAGCAACTCCTCTGATATCAGTTTGTTCTGCTATATAAGTACTACTAGTTTATGTATAGCTGCCAAAAGTTAGTCACCACCTTTCTTCCTTCTTATGCTTTTCACAATAGATTTCATCAATTCTATGACTTTATTACTTTTAAGTTTGTGGATACCATTTGACACTTCTTCTCTTTTTGATGTTTCAATATATAGTAGCTGGTTTAGTAGTTAGGTAGTTGATTTTCTATTATGTTGCCTTCTTCAACATATTTAAATTGAGATGATCACTGATACATTGTGTCCATCTATTAAGAACTGAGTATATATCATGTATACCATTAATATTTCTACAACTTTTTAGACTAGGCTACTATTTAGGGATTTGTAGTATTTTCTTGTTTGTATCTCATTTAATGTTTTCTGTCCATATTCCATCTTCTTTAGTCAATGAATATGCTTTTTCCTTTCTTCTGAGGAGTCTATATTCTTATTTTTTCTCCATGTGCAATATGCTTTGCACAGTTTTGAACCTGCAACAGTTTGTTGATATGCCATGTTTTTTTTTGGTTGTTGCTATCTTGCACTCATTATCAAATTTAAGACAGAGAAAATAATATATGACAACCTATTGCATTTATGTTAAGTGAAGAAAACAAGAACTACACAGACATTTTTAAGAAATTATCTCTTTTTGTTACCATACAGTAAAGTAAAATTTATAGCAACCCATCTTACATCTACTCCAATCAGTACTTTTCAGTACAACCAAAATATATATTATTAGCAAATTATAACCAAAAGTCAAAAGTTGGGATGGTGAAACTAGAAGAGGAAATAAAAGGTAAACAAATAAAAAAAAATTATAACTTTAAAACAAAGGACACAGTGATACATCTAAGTTCTCAATAAATTCTATATCTTCAAGCAGAAATACAAAAGATTCTCTTTCTATATGTCTATGATAATTCTTTTTACAACAATTTTGTTCAACTTATGTGAGTATCTCCTTCAAATTCTTCATTTTTATTATAATATAACAAGTTACAACTCTATTAACTAATTTCCTTCCATAAAGGGATGAAACCATTGAACTTATTATTAGTTTGAACATATATGTTGACCTCTAGTATTTTTCATTGTTTCCAGATATCTTTCTTTCAAGTTTTCTAAGCCCTCTATGCTTCTGATTTGTCTCTTTAGGGTTTAAATCTTCAGGAAATGCATTAATAAAGCTCTTATATAGAGGTATACTTCATCTAATTTACATACTGATGCACGTCATTATCTATGTCAGAGATCGAAGTTGACATAGTTGCCAAAGTATAAAAAAATCCTGAATCCATTTTAAATTAAATAGATCACATAATTATTGCAAAAGTATTACCATCTCTTTACAACGACTATTTAAATTCTTATGTGACATTTTCGAAATAAAACACATTAATTTTGTTCTAAAAAGAACATATTCTATTAAATAGGTAAAAATATAAAACAAGAGGTATTCACTTTAAAATTAAAAATAATAAAGTACAAAAAGTGTCAACACTGCAACTGTCAAATAAGTGTTACCAATTTATGCCAAAATTTCACCTTCATTCTATTTCAGTTACAGTGTGTTCCAAACAAATGCTCTTCATAAAAACACTTTATAATGCATTTATACAAATTAAATGAAACATATTATTGTGTATTTCTTTAAGTTAACATTAATATAAATTTTTAAATATTATTTCTACGCGTATATAATAAAATATATCTAGTGGCTGTTATGCCAGTGTACTCGGCAAAGTGATTCTAAAAAAGAACACACCTACCGCCTAAATATTTCGTGTTGGTATCATGTGACGTCACGGGCTATGACACAGATGATGTGCATCGGTATGTAAATTAGATGAAGTGTAGTTGATTACCAAAAAAGATTTTCTGGTACTGATATACAATACACATACAATGACAATGTGTATTTGGTTCAGGTAGGGTAGTTTGATAAGGGTTTGGTGTAAATTTGCTATTACCAATATGATACACTATATAGTAGCTGCTGCAATATTCACTACCATTCTTTACTGCAGAATATAGACAAGATCCAAAGCTATTCTTTATATAGAGTTTTTGGTGCCATGGATCCATGATATTTTAGCGGTTATATTTTTATAAATTTGTCTATATTTTAGTATTCCATATAAAGTTGTTACAATACACTTTAGAGTAAGAATATTTTGAATCAGAAAACATTAAAATAAATAACCAGCTGTTAGTGGGCATAATCATTATTAATATAACTCATGTCAGTAAACTGTGGAAAGTTTAGTTAAAATCTATTTAGATAGATGATATTAGTTCTAAGCTACACAATTTCAAGGCGATGATAGATACAAAAACAAATGATTGAACTTTAAAAATTTAATTTCATGTTTAATAATTCAAGGAGCAACTTTATCACATATATGAAAAGAGAGCTAAACTGTAGCAACTTAAAACTCGTAAACTAAATTATTTAAAATCGTTTAAAAAGTATTTAATAATTCATATAAATTTTTTCATGTATTTTCTATGATAAATATAATAAACATACTTATTATATGTCTTAATATAGACCGCATTACGTGGGATATGACACATATAGATACCAGCAACTTATAAGGAGAATGAGTTAATTACAATAAATCTTTATTAGGATTGAAGGATAATAACAATAAAACTGGATAAGTAAACAACTTTAATCAAAGTGCACTTACTTGCGAAATGACATCCTCAGGTACACTCCCTGATTGAATAAGTTCGACTGTTTTAGCTAATGATGCTTTACCGGAATTATCTTCATCACAACACAAAAAAACATCGGAAAAATATCTTTGTAATGTATCAGAAAGCTGTAAATCATCCATTTTTCAAAAAATATTGTGACAGATATCATAACCTTCGCATTTTGACGTTTAAGGTATTCGGCAGATGACACAAACCTCAAGTAGCAATGCTACCAACATTCCATTCAACCACCTTACATATCACTGTAAAATAACAACATCCGCCAGAATCACCACATCAAACATTACAGATTAAAGTTTCAGTTTGTCAAAGTGTCAAAGTTGATTATAAATATAAATATTTACACTCAATCTCAACAATAACGAATGATGATTAGTCATAAACTTTGTGTAATTTCAAGGAATGTGAGATCTCTATATGTTTAGAATATGAATCAAAATTGTATTTATTATTTAATATCAATGGCAACAAGAATTGGGATCAAAAGAATGTAAGTGAAGCTAAATGTTAGTGACAATTCACCACTATAGACAATTAATAGTTATAAATTTGAGCGTTTATCTATTATTTTGTAGTTATCGGATGAGCTATTATTACAAAGTGTTGTTATTTTGATATGTACAACAAATCCTACTATTTATAGGACTTCAATAGTAGTAGTAGTAATATAAACTTTGTTAATTATATTTTTATCTAATATTTGCTTGTTTTCTTTATAGAGGTATGGTACCTTTTTGCCTTCATGAACATCTAAACCCTTATATATACGGTGCCCCACCGTTTCTCAATCTTATCCAAGTATTATATCACATAGATGGAGAAAAATAAGATATGTTTTTACTTTTAAATATACAATAAATTTTTAAAATATACAATATTTCGACAATACAAATTAATGCTTGATACTCATATAAGACTGAAATAAGATAATTTACACCAAATTGCTATACAATTGTCTCTAAAATTTTTGATTTACATGGATTAGTGGGGTTTGTAGTCACATTTATTTATTTATAGGGAGTGTATACCATGTATGTGGTTGTTGTTTATTAGAGGACTGCAAAAGCCAGTGGTTATTTAAGCACTGTTTAAATGATGTGCTATCTTTGTCACAAATTATTTCTAGCTGTAGGAAATCCACCTGTTAAACTAAATGATTTCTAGCATATGGGTTAAACATGGTTGTTGTTCTGGGTTGGACATATGTAGGTAATTTGTGAAGTAAATGATTAGATGGTTCAAAGTTTACTGAAAATATTATGAGTTTTAAGAGAATTTTTGGGTTTGCAGCTGTCTGGGCTGCAGTGAAGTGGTATACATAAGGAAATACAAGAGTCAATTAGGATACAGTCATATAATCAATTTAAGTGTTACTCTTAATTCTTACAATACTGTGTTGCAAAATACTTTATATTTTATATGATTTATCAAAAAAATATATATTTTGTAGGTATTTCTTTTGTGCACTCACCCACACCATGGGATAAAATGAAAATTCGTATACAAACGCCTTTACCAGCGTTTGATCTGAAAATGAACTAATGGGCAACATTTTGAACATGTATTAACATAGTTAATAATGCATTTATGAAGACAGGTTATGGGTTAAGTAAATATTATTTTGTAATATGATGAGCTATTAAATTCAACTAACTTTTACTAGCATATGTTTTATTTTGTCTTGGATATTTTGATTTATGTTTATAAAATTAAATTATAATTTATATTTTATATGTATCAGTAGGTTAACAAATTTTATTAATAAAAAATGTACAAAAACAGAATCGATACTTCTCTAAATATTTAAAAAACAAAACATGCTAGGTATATAGGGTGGTGCATTTAAACAACACAACTTTGGCTCATTCTTTTGTTCTGACTCTGAATTATATATAATAATTTACTCCTTTTCTTTTATTATCCTTCAACCACTGTCCATATAATACATAAATAAAGGCCTATAACAAAAGGAGAGAGAGACTAGGAAATTGTGTAAAGAAGCAATGACAAATAGAGTTTAATATTACCCGCTGTAAATTATATGCTGGTATACATACATGTTCTACTTAAATCTGAACATTTTCCATGATTGAACATGATATTGCCATAATAAATCACAACAAAAGAGTGTTACGAAAAGACTACAGTGAAACAAAATGACCCTAAAGCTTTCTCCACCTAAACTCAATATTAAATTTCAACGTCATTCACGAATAGAATCAAGGATTTCTGGCGATAATAAGTGTTTTTGTGCTTACACCTTTTTAGCCACATGGAACAAAAATAAAGGGAACTCCGTCAAATATGAATGTATGATGTAAAGGATGACTTTAAAGTCTTGAAAATTGGACAATGAAAGTAGATGATATGACAGAATGAAAGAATTGTGTTAAGCAGCAAAGATTTTAGCGTCAAGACAATTATAGTTTTGCCAGTTTTCTTGTAGTAACGCCTTTATTCAGGCTATGAATAGTTTGGACAGTGTAAGCTGAAGCAAAGCTTATATGAAGTATATAAGTATACAATCATAAAATAATACAAAAAATCAGTATTGATTTGATGAAAGTAATGACTATCGATAAAAACTGACATAAGGACATGTCATAGTGCAGAATGTTGGTCTGACTATTACATATTTGTAGCTAAAGTAACTATTAACTATAAAAAGAACACCAGACAAACCGAGAACGAAAATAAGGCCGACTCCAAATCTAAAGTAATTAAATATACCTAATATTGATACCTTAAGAGATAAATCTACATAATTCCTCTACAATATAAGACTGGCGCAAAACTAGTAACTTTAAATGAAGTAGAAACAGCAGAAGAGAAATACCAGTTGGTGAAAGGATGCATATACCAAAGCAAGGGAGACTTTGGGTTATTTGGACAAAAGTAGAAAACAAAGTCCCGAATGGATCACAGATGTCTTGGTTAAGAACAAAAGACACAAAAACCTATTTATCCCTGAACCGAGAAACCAAAAGAATGTTGTCACAAAAGAAAAACGAACTGTGGTAGCGAGAATCTTAAAATGTGGAGAGATGCCAGGAGGCAGTAGAGTAACTCAAGCCTAGACATTTATTTAAAATGTACCAAAAAAGTAAGGAAACGGGAAATATAGACCTAATACAGAACAAGAAGTGTGAGATTCATTACAAGCAACTGCTGATAGAAAGAATTTCTGGGAGAACTTGACAACGTGAACATGAATAACAAAGAGGCAGTTAAGTTAATAAGTACAATGAAATTAAGAGAAAAAGAACGGTAAAGCTCCAGGGCCTGAACACATTCCCATTGAACTAGTGAAATATGGACCAGACGTACTGTCGGAAGTGCTAGGAGATATTTTTAATAAATGCTTAATTGAAAGCCAAAGTATTTTTATAATTTGGAATTTATAATTTGTTTAAAACTTATATTTAAGATGCATTAAAGGAGACAAAAAAAATGTCGCAAACTGCGACGAAGATATTGATGTCATGCTAAGGAAACTTAAAGATGAATATGAACAAGCAGAAATGAAAATGAATGTAACCAAAAGGTTTATCTGAGTATGATTTGACGCAGAGGTCAACATAGATAAAAGATTATAGTATACGTTATTATACGTTTTGAATTCTTTACTTTGGTGCAATCGAATTTCCATTAATACAAAATTTACAATCTACAGAGCAATTGTAGGACCGATATTGACATGTGGATCAAAATGCTGGTAGATAACGGAAAAACCAAAGAAAAAAGTAGATGCAGTAGAAATGGATTCTTTCCGAAGAGCGTGTCGAATATCTGAACTAGACCACATACAGAATAACGAAATTAGGCGACGCATAATTGACTACACAGGACAAGTGAAAGAATAGATACAAAACAGTGAATACATAATGGCGACATAAGCCGCATGGAAGGGCACATATGACCAAAAAAAAACATTTGACTACGACTAAAAAAGTAAATGAAGAAAACAGAAAGAAAATTCGAATTTTTCGAAAAAAAAAACTTTTTGACTCATCATCGAAAATGGGTTACGGAGATCTAGACCTTTACCAACTTTATTCATAGAAACATATAGTGATGAACGCGGAACGAGACGGGACAGCGATTTTTGCTGCGAAAAGGCTCTGGCGTGTAAAAACTGCACTGTTATTATTATAGAAATTATTTGGTAATTAAAGTTTTAATTCATTTAAAATAACAGAAAATTTTAAAATGTGAGAAAATTCTTTTTGATTTATTGCACTTGATTTGATTTATTTATATTTATTTGAAACTACAAGAAGAATATACCAAGGCCGGCCTAGATGTTAACTTCGTGAAAACAGGGTACCTATCTACAAGTGAAGAAGACATAGAAGATCTACAGATTGAAGACAAAGTAACAATCAAAGGAAAGCAATAAATTCAAATACTTGGGGTTTATAATCACGAAAAAGGCAACAACAGAGGAAGAAATTACACAAAGATTAGGACAAACAAGACTCAGTATGGTGGGATAGACACCTAAATATGAAGACAAAAACACAGATTTATAAAACATTAGTGTGAAGTATTATGACATATGGGGCTGAAAATTGGACTATAAATAAGAAAAACAGCAGTAAGATAGTAGCAACAGAGATGGAATGCCTGCGAAGATTCTGCAAAGTGACAAGAATGGATAGGAGAAGTAATGACGAAATAAAGCAAAGAACATCAATTGAAACAGACATACTAACATATATAGAACAAAAAAGACTAAAGTGGTATGGACATGTAAGAAGAACTAGCGACAGCAGATGGATAAAGAGTGAGAGAGGCCTAACCGATGAAGAATGGAACAACAGAGAGAGATGGAAACGGTTGAGCGAGGGAAGGCAGTGAATACTGTAGAATCCCTGAATATATATATATATATATATATATATATATATATATATATATATATATATATATATATATATATATATATTTATTTATATATCAGTATGTTGTAAATATCGGGTATGTGGTCTATATTAAATAAAAATCTTTGTTTTTTCTAGAACTCAATATTTCGCTATTTATTTAACAGCTTCATCAGGAGTAAAGAACTTAAAAGATTTCACACATAAATAAACTTGACATTAAAATAAACATTTTT